TCCCTACACCTAACATGGCAGGGGCCAAGCAGATGAAGTGCAAAGTAATATTTCAGCAGGGGTAAAAGGTCAAATTGCCTTCTCATATAAGAAAAAATATGAATTTGAGGGGGGGGCAACTGCCCTCCCTGAACCCTACTTAGGTTCAACCCTGATTAGGACTTTGACCACCATCTTTTCATAAGTTGAGAATTCCACTGTTTGGAAAAGAATTGTTCGGTTGTTGGGAATGCCAACGCGCACATTAATTTCCGTTTGGTAAAACAACTTTTTATGGTGTTATACCAAAATTATTTCACTTGAATGGTATTTTTTTGTTGTTTCAGAATAAAGCCTTTATCATCAGTTCCGCCACAAAACTTTTGAAGGAGCTTCTCCCTCCTTCAAACGAACTTATATGAAAATCATTGTATTGATTTAATACTACAAGATACTGAAAAGAAGAGTGAAGTGAAAAATATTAACAAGAGAAATTTGGAGTTAAAGTGATGATATATACAATCATGAAGTTGTTCTTAACACGATGAGAAAATACACTAATGATGTGGAATATGAGATCAAGTATCACTCATTTTGCAACTTCATTTCTTACTCTTATAAGAAGACATTATCAAAAAGAAAATTTTAGAAGCATATTTAATTCTAAATATTGGAATAAGACCATTATTAAAAAAAAAATCTAAGGTGATCATTCTTAAGACTAAATTTGAAATAGCATGTTTTGCAATTTAAAAATTACAACTTAATTATACATATGCTAAAATTAGTAGATGGTGAAAATCTACTTCTAATGAGTTATACTTACCATACAATAGACAATGTTAAGAATACAAGTAGCGTAACATTTAGATGAAATGAAAAAAATACGAGCAAATCTTCATCTCAATAATGATTGATGGAGGTGTCAACTTCAGCAACTATTACATAAAGTTGAATATTATTTTTTGTTAAAAGATCAAAACTTTCGATTTATAATCGTGTTTATTATCTTTTTACGATTGAATACATTGTTCACAGTAAAAATAAGAAATCTCCAAATATGATTAATTAAAAATTTTACATAATTCAATATTTTAATTGATTAAACCATTTTCAAACAAGATATTAAAATTATAATACAACAGTGGGGGGACATAGATGGTGCATCAACCCAATCAATGATGCCTTTTATTAGGTTAACAATTTATAAATTTTAAACAAACTAAATAATACATATGTTTTACGTATTTATTTTGATTTTTTTTAGCTATTAATACAAAAAATTCAACTAGATCAAAAGCACTTGATTTAATTTTCATCAAGCGCAACCAAGTTTTGAAGATAATATTGATTGGATCAATTTGGATTCAATTGACCAAAATTGTAATTGATTAGAGAAATGGAGGGTGGAGATAAGTAAAACTTTGGTGATGAAAATCTGACGCGAAGATAAACTGAATAGGCTTAAAAAAAGTTGATCAAGCCTAGTAGGACAAAATAAAAAAAGGGTTCATCCACAATGATGGTTAGTTCATCCCAGCCTATATCCACTCCTATTGTGCTAGAAAAGAAAGATGTAATTTATTCACAAGAAGAAAGTGAAATTCGATATGAATAAAAAAATAGATTACTTGAATTAAAAAGAGGATAATAACCACTGATTTATTTAGCTGTTTAATGAAACTTAATACTTAATCAATTTATTTATGCTTTAAAATTTAGCCTTTATTATGAATTGTATGAATATATTTGTAATTTTAAAATTTTTAATGACTACAACAAATTATTAGAAATTGTTAGGAATTTTAATTTGTAGATTCACCATTAAAAATTTGCCTTCAAATTAGATATGTGCTCCACAATTCTTTTCTATTTTATATCAAATTTTAATTCATATAATAAATGCTCTATGTTTTATAACTATTTATGAATGTAATAACACCTTGTAGTTTAATATAAGCTATTAGTGGTTAGATTAATAAAAATGACGCATGCAGGATTTGAAGGCAAAAAAAAAAAAACTTTGTGCATCGCATTTCATTTTACGACTTGAAGCAAAAAATAAAACTATGCACGTGGCATCGTACTTTGCGCTTTGATAAAACTAATTCACATTTGTGAATACCTAAGCATTAACGAGTATTGGCATAAAAATATCAAAAGATCATAGCTCAAAAAACCCAACAATTGAGGTTTCTATTTGTGAATAGGTAGAATCATTATAAAAAAATAAGTATGTTGTGTTTTTTATTATTTAGATATTTTATTTCTTCCGCTGATTTGAGATAACTTAGACAATTTTTTTTTTCCTTTTGCTATAATTTCCATAGTGATTGTTTCTTTAGTTAGAAACTAAAAGATCAAAGAAGAATAATAAGTCTAATTAAAACCCATTAGGGCAAGTAATAAAGAATCCAGCTTCCTCTTTCAAGTCAAACATAAATTACAATTATTATACAAACCTTCATCCTCTCCCTCGTGATTTCCTCTATCATGTACGCTAGTAATAACCCAACACCCTCTACTGCCCTTCAAAAAAGGTCACTAAAATAATGACCACCAACACCAACAGCATCCATCAACCCCCCTACTTCCAACCAGCATGTCCTAAAGGGCACGATAAAGCTATAACGATAAATTGTACCTTAATAGTAATAAGCATAAGACCAAACGAAAGCCTTCAAACCACTAAATCTCTTTCTTATGAGTTATAGCATGCAAGTTCAAACAAATAAAGGAATGCATGCAAATATTCATTATCCAAAATAAGTTTCAAGAAAATACATGCACATTCAACTGCAAAATCATAGAAAACTTTAAATTTTATGTTTTTGCATCTTAAATAAGCGCTTTGAGATTTTATTCAAATTAGACGATTGGCCTTCTACCTAATCAAAAATATGCTAAAACTCATAAAAGTTTGAAATTCAAGGTCAACTCATTAAACCACAAGTTAACCACAAATTTCAAGCCCAGTCAATGATAATTAAATCCATCAAAAACTTTTAAAACTGATATCCCTAATTATATTAAAAAAAAGGTCTGCGATTTTCACAGACCAACGCCATTTAAGTATTAAAACGCAAAAAACATGTGTTCACCTCCACAAGGATATGGTTTTGAAAGGATGTGTGTGTGTGTGCGCGCGCGCGAGCGCACGCGCGGGCGTGTGTGCGTGTGTGTGTGTAAAGAGAAAGAGATGGCCAAAATAAATTCACAAGAATATGGTTTTGAAAGGATGTGTGTGTGTATGTGTGCCCCTGTGTGTGTAAAGAGAAAGAGATGGCCAAAATAAATCTGGCACGTATTCATGTTCAGTTTATTAGAAATTGAGTTCATAAATAATGCTCAAGCTCAACTCCTTTACTCAAAAAAACAAGACAAACTCAACCAACTTATCAGGGCAAGCAAACGTTAACCTCAAAAATCAAGCAAAATAAACAGATGAAAAAGGAGAGGGAAGTGAAAAGAAAGTTTACAATTATGTAGTTCTATCTTTTCTTTAATACCTTCTATTTTAAAGTTGGGGCGTTTACAATTCCTAATTTTATATGCATTTACATATCTAACACCTAAACTTTATTTTTCACATTTATACACCAAAATGTTTCAAAACACATAAAAAATACAACTATTTTAACTTTTAAAAAGTGAAATACACCTTTCTATGAATGGCATAGATGTCGAAATTGAAGTTTAGGTGTTGGATGTAAATACATAGGAACTGAGTGGTATGTATATAAATCTTCATTTTCTGTCTTGAATTTATCAGGTTCCTAAAAACCGCAACCTATATGCCATGAAAAATTAAGAAAACACTAAATTGTGATCAACAAAGGGTACCATCATTCTAACCATCTTTGATATAAGAATATAACTTCCAAATTACAATTACGCATATTTGGAATACCATAATTTTTTTCATTATTGTAATGATTTAAAATTTCCTAAAAACAAGAAAACAACTTAACAAGTAAGAAAAGAATATCAAACATCATACCTTGCTGCTTTTGGCCTCCTTAATAGAATCTTCAAGTACATCTGTGCTCACTGCATGACCTGAACGAGTGGCCAAAGTAACAGGGAGGATATTTTCATCTGATGAGAACTCCAAAAAATTCACATCTAAACTTAAGGAGTTATGATTATCATAATCCATTGCATTCTTGCCAGTTTCAGTTGTAAGACCCAAGTAATGCTGATTTTTCTCACTGAAATCTGATGCGCTAAGCAAGCGCGTAAGGACAGGTGGTGTAACCAAAGTTTCTAAGTCATGCAAATTCAAGGGTCTACATTGTTCACTTGAACATTCAGATAAATCATTGCATGCATTAAGTTGAATGTTAATGTCATTCTGTTGTTCAAATCCATATTCGATTGGATTTTTACATTTATCAAAAACATCAGATGAAATAGTTTGTTCATCAAGTTGAACCGAAATGTTCTCTTCATCTCTTAATTGGACCAGCTCTTCAGTGTCAGAATGCAGATCCATATGTACACATTCTAGCTCCTCAGTGAATTTGATAAAAAGTTCAGTCGGAATGATCTCCTTTCTCCCGCCATGTAAAAGGGATTCAACAATACCATCTTGATTATGTGATTTATACAAGAAGTTCTCATCCTCTTTCTCAGACAATTGATTTAAATTCAAACTTAGGCTGTTATTATAAATAGATTCTTCATGTTCTGGTTCTGTTATTGAACCTGCATCAGAGATAAAATAGGGTTGCCCCAAAACACATCCGTTTGTACCGTGTGCAACAAAAGAGTCCGAGCCTCTACTCTCAGCTCCATCATTATAATTTTGTAAACCAAAGGAAGAGTCTGGATTTCCATCAGGAATGGTGATATGCTCAGGCCCATTATCTCCTTCATAAAACAACAAGAAAACCCAATTAACAAGACATATCCAACATTGTTTATAATTAGCCACGTAAGAAAAATACATCAAATGATGAGAAGGAAGGAGACTTGAACAAATTCTATCAACAAGTTTAAATCAACAGATTAAAATGGTATGGTAGCACTAAAAATCAAAGCACTCTACGATATACATATTTCAACACAGTAACGCTCATCTTGCACACGAAGTATGCATATCTTCATAAAAAAGAACAGGTGAATTAACATGAATATTAGCAAATTTTTACGTAATTAAATATCTAAAACATAAGCTTTAACATTCTAGTCTCTAAATTAAATAAAAAAAAAATAACACAATATTAATTTATCTAAAGTGAAATTCATATTTCATCCATAAGTTTTGATGTGATTTAAACACTATTGTTATATAAGCCAAAAAAAATATTCAATAAAAATATTAAATAAGCGGTAATGTCTGTAAATCCCCTAAATATTTATTCTTATAATAATAAACAAAATTTTAGAAATCATAAAAATTTCATTCAAGTTTAATGCACATTACAAAGAATAAAACAAGACTAGCATCTACAGAAATGTGGACGTGAATACAGGCTTTAAAATTTTATCACATATGTATGGCTTGAATACACGTGTAGGCATGGAAAATGACTGCAGAGAATATATGCATGTAAGCTTGCACGACTAAATGAACATAAGAACACACTAAAAACCTTGCAAATGTAGGCATACAAGTCTGCACCAGGGTAAACTTCATGCATGCATGCAAAATGTGCATCCTACCTCCATGCATAAATGCTTACAAATGTGCATAAAATGGAAGTAAAATGCACAAAACAATATCACTTGACATAATGAACGGGCTCCCCACTAGGAGATAAACAATGAGGAATCCCTTAGAGAGAGGGAAGAAGCGAACTAACTCTCCCTCAATTCTTGTTCTGAATTACCAGTGTCATGAAGAATGAACGAAACACCCGGTGTTGCATTAGATGCTGGCAAAACTTCTGATAGGATAAACTCAATTGCTTCATTAATATCTTCTGCATGTTCAATCGAGATGGCTCTTAACATTCGCAGGTCCACCTGAGGAAGAATCATTCATGATACAAATAAACTACATAATGAATTATGATCAAAAAATCAAAAGAAAAGAGTATAGCTAATGTTAATAAATTATAGGGTATTGGTATGAAATCTACAACTGCTCAAATAAGGAATCAATCAAAGCAGCCAAGTCGGAAATCTTTTTCATTCTTATAAAATTCAATTTATGTTTTACATCATGAGATTACCAAAATGAAGAATAAAATGATGAAAATTGACGTAGACTTCGAAATCATGCAGGCTAGCAAATCTCAGAGCCCTCCTATTGAGAAGTAAAAGCATGCTAACCTAAATTTCTTTTTAAAATGCTTTTTAATCACTCTTCTTCGGAAAATTAAGAAAAAATCCAGAAGCATTTTTATCAAATTTTACAGATTTGTACTTGACACTTTTAATGTTTTCTGTAGAAAATATTCTTAAACCCAGAACTGGCGTTGCCAACTAAAACTCTCTTGAACTCCAAAATATGTCCATCAAAGAGTAAGTCTATTGTTCCTTTTCCCCCCTAGGTAAACCATGGCTCCATTAAGTAAACAAATAAAGAAGTCGCTCGGCGAGAGGTACAATCATGCAACCAATTTAAAGCGTAATCCAATAAAAAAGCACAAAGATTATACGTCAAACACAGAATCACAACCAGTGAAGAAAGAAAAATGCTTGAACAACAACAGTTACCGGACATGATAAAGCAATATTTTAAATGAAAGGATAAAACCCAATGCCTCACCTGAGGGAAAAGCTCCCGAAGACTTCGAAAGATCGATGCGGAACTCATTTCACTGCAATTACCAAGCTTTCAGAACAGGCGCCAGTCAATCTGCATCAAATCAAATCGCTTACAACAAATGCATCGACATACCGCCCACCAATAAGCAAAACAGGCGAACATCAGCTCAAAACACTGCAATACTTAATTCCATCAAAATAACACCCGCCAACAAAAAAAAAAAGGCATCAATAAGTACTTACAGAGGAGAGCTCCAGAAGATAGATCCCTCGATAGAGAGACGATCTGCGATGAATGATTTGCTAGAAGGCGAAAGTGTTGGGAAACCCTATGAGAAAGAACATGAAATGAAAAAGACGGCGACTGTTATGTCCCGCGCCTGAAGGGGCAAGGAAACTTGGTCCTTAAGATTAATAATGGCGGCAGGGTATTTAGTAAAAATTATTTCTGCTAAAATAATAAATTGTGAGGCTGGAGGTGAAGGCGAGGCGTCATCTGCAGATATAACCTGCGGGGCACGGTGGGCCCGTTTGGTGATTAGATAGATAATAGGCTCTCTTCGGAAAACTATAATTTTAAGTTTTATTTGATTAAAAATAGTTAAAGTTAAAACATGGGAATTAGGTATCTTCGAGTCCAATGAAATCAGATCACGTATAGTTTCTCTTCGGATAACTATAATCTTAAGTTTTATTTGATTAAAAATAGTTACAGTTAAAACATGGGAATTAGATATCTTCGAGTCCAATGAAATCAGATCACGTATAGTTGACAGAAAAATTAAAAATATGAATCATTTTTGCACGGGAAATATTTCCCCCGTGTTATTACGCGTTATTCAGGTCTTATTGTGGTTGTATTCATGTATTATTGTGTTTTGAAAATATTCTCGGTGTTATAATAACACAATAACACATCAATATCACAACAACAATACCTAAATAACGCAGAACAACACAGGAAGAATATTCTCTGATGTTACTGGGCCAGATCAGAAAAAAACGAGTATTTTTTATATCAGCTCCCCGTGAAAATTATTCATTAGACTCCGCACGTATCTCTACGTCCGGAGTCCGGACGTAATAATTTTTTATAAGCTTGACCCATATTCGAGTTTGGATCGTTTGAAATTGTTCTGGTTTCAAATAGGTTTATGTTCGAAATTAATCGTGAAATGTTCGCGTTCGGTTATATTAATTTAAATTTGGCTTAAATTGTTCTAATTGTTCGAGTTAAGCTTCTGTTCAATTTGAATTAGACCTGGATAACTAAAAGCTTCAAGCGGGTCACACGACTATTCTGCTGAAAAGAAAGAATTTTCTATATTTAAAGGCAGTAAAAAACCTCTCATATATATATATATATATATATATATATATATATATATATCTTTATGGTTTGTTTGATTTTTTTCTTTTTAACAGCTAACTTCTGCTTATTTACATATCTAGCACCTAAATAAATATGACAGGAATCATCAAACTGAGATATTCAGTTATGTTTTTGTTATTTTTTTAAACATGTACATACATACCAGCCAATTCCTATGTATACCGCCCAAATAATTTATACATTTTTTAAAATAACTATAAAAAATGATATAAATAAATTTTATTACTTATTTATTTATTTATTTATTTATTTTATTTAATTTAAGTTAAAAAGAGTCGGACACAAACGAACAAACATTGGTTCAAGTTGAATACAATTTTTTTATGAGGCATGACCGAAAGTTAAAAAGAGTCGGACACGAACGAACAAACATTGGTTTAAGTTGAATACAATTTTTTTATGAGGCATGACCGAAGATTGATGCGGTAAGTTTAAAGGAAGAGAGAAATATAGAGAGAGACGATGAGGTAAAAAGGAAATAAAATAGTACACAGATTTGCACCGTAGGGGCGAACTGGAGTATTCTGGGACTCTGTGACCCATTTTATATATATAAATAGATGTTACAAGAGCAAAAGAAGAGAGTTCTCCCTATAGAGTATGGGTCTAAAGAGAAGAGATAAAAATCTTTCCTTACATGTATTGGACCCCTCTTTATAGAAGATAGAGGGTCAAAAAATGAAAATTTATATATCAACCCCTGCTTTAATAAGGGGATTACAAGATATTCTTGTCTTTATTGTGCCCTTTCATATTTGTAATTGATTCAGACTTTTTTGTATATTTTTGGACCCTTCAGTCGACAATTCATCGAATCGGTCGACCAAATTATCGTTAGTCGACTATCTTGCTTGGGTGTTGGGTGATCTCTAACCTAGAATGTCGGTATGTTTTAAGTGTGGTATCCAATAAGTCTTAGCATGGTTGATCGGTATGTTTGTTCCTTGATGATCTTTAAGGCAAATGTTGAGAGAGTCTCCCTTTGATGCTTGTGGGATTGTAGGGGATACTCGACCTTCATTCCCAGTTAGACTAAGTGAACCTTCAATTGATCGCTATTCCTTAAGTCAATTGTTTGCGAGTCGGATAACAATTTTTTAATCAATCGAATTCATGAATACTTAGCTTTTGATAGGAACCATTATATTTTCTCAAGATTCGTACAGGCCATTTTTGGGTGCACAGTTCGTGTTCAGTTCGTTTATAAATTGAGCTAAAAAATTATACATATTCGGCTCTCTTAATAAAGGAATTAAACACGAGCTATTTAGTCAGTTTAATATATGTTGTTCACGAAAAATGAGCTTTTTTGCATGCCTAGTTTTTTATAAAAATCACTTCAAAGCAATATTTGTGAAGGAGTTAGGGCCCGTTTGGGGCAGCGATAGAGCCGCAGCGCGACACGCAGACGCAGTTCTACATTGAATCTTTTGGGGTGCGGCGGCAATGTGTCACGACAAAATTTCCTGCATTTTAACGAAAAAGTTGACCTCTGGATTGACTGCAGCCCTGGACGCAGTGGAATTCATCCTGACGACGACAAATGGAGTCGAGCTCATCCACCGCCGTCGAAGCAACAACGATCTTTGGTAGAAGATCCTCATCGAGATGGCGCACTTGAATGTTGCTTTTTCCAACTTGGAGTCATCGAGAAGGACCTCACCGAGAAGAATGTTGCTTTTTCCAGCTTGGAGTCAGTGAGCTCGCACACACAGATCTCTCCTCTCCATTGGGTGTCATCCTCCCAAGATGGAGGCCCTGCATCTCCATTGAAGCCAGCTCTGTGGTTCACAAGGCTACAGCGGGAAAACGGCCTATGAGTAGCTGGATATGTCAAACGGCCTGTGAGTAGCTCTGTGGTTCACTAGAGTTCTTAATTTTTTGGAGCATATAATTGGATATTATCGTAAACCTTTTAATATAATGACAAACTATAGAATTACTAATTAAATATGACAAGGATTGAGATCTAAATGAAGCTCCACATTAGCCTTCCAAGATAAGCTCCACATTTTCGAAGCATGCTGTGATGCAAGCCAATATGTAAATAATTTATCTATCAAGTTAACAATTCATTCGGCTTCTGTTTTAAGTTGGTTGGTGGAAGCTTATGAGTAAGATATTGCTCTGAAGTATAGTTTCTTAATCTGATATTTGTTCACTATTTTCCATATGTCAAGTCAATTTTTTATTCAGAAGAAATACCCTATATGCACTAGATGACCGTTTATTGTGTCATGTGCTTCGGAATAACGATATCTTAGAACCTTCTCATTTGCAACATGTTTGGGAAGAATTTTCTATGCTCTAGAAATCTTTTGAATTTAGTTGAGAATCTATTGCTAACCAAGGAAAAATCTGACTTGAGCTTTTTTGTTATTATTAGTTTTTTTTTTTTTTTTCTTTAGCATTTTCAGTTATCACTGTTAAGTGAGTTATGCATCTAAATTTTTGTCATATTTTGAAATAAATTTATGCTTTCGAAGTATCAAAAATTTTGTTGGCACGGTTCTATTTTAAACAAATATGGGAAAAATTGTAATTTTTTCAAAAACTGCTACTCTACAGTTGTTTTCACACAGCCACCCCAAACAGGCAGCGAACTTCCCTTGCAGATGCTTCGTAGGGTCGTGCAGCTACATCTGAAAAGCTGAGAAGCTACAATTGCGTCAAACATAGCCTTAATAGAGAATTCTTTTTTCAACTATAAGACTCAAATTTAAAGTATGTTTTAACTACTAATAATTAATATTTAGCTTATTTGTCATTAAGGTTCAACTTCCATAAAAAACACATCAAAATTTATGATAGGAAATTAGGCTATGTTTGGGGGGCAGGGGGCATGCGGCACGGGGCGGCACCACGGTTTTTTTGCTGGCGACTTTACTGCCGTAACTTTCTGCGGCTTGGTGCAAAAGTCGAAAGCAGGTTATATGTCGCGGCCCAGCTTCCTCGATGCGACTTTTACCCTCGTGCCCCTTTTAGATTAGAAAACAGGCATAAGGAGTATTGATATCGCAACTGCAACTTCCGATGTTCTTCCTCCGGCAACGGTTGTGAAAATCGTGCGTGTGGAGATAAAGGGACGTGTGTAGGGTGTAGGGTTCTGAGATTGAACGATGGAGAACGTGAAGGATCTTGGCCTACGAGGTTGGGTAAGGAACCAAAGGAATGGCTCTGTTGAAGCTCTCTTCTCCGGAAGCCCAGAAAAAGTAGAGGAGATGATCAACCAGAGGTGTAGGATCGACCCTCTTGCCATCGTTGTCACCGCCATTACATCTTTCCCGTCAAACGAGGATCCAAGCCTGGATTTTCGCTACAAAAACACTCTCTAATGTTTTGTTCTCTCTGGTGTTATTTCTTAACATTTCTATGTTGGATCCAAGCCTGGATTTTCGCTACAAAAAGACTCTCTAATGTTTTGTTCTCTCTGGTGTTATTTCTAAGGATCCAAGCCTGGATTTTCGCGAAGCAACCTGACAAATTGGAAATGAAACGTCTTATATATGCTTCTTTGCTTTGGATGAATAATAAAATGTTATCCGTTGAAATTAAATATGAATTGATATTTTATTCCTTACTTGATCTTAATTCTAGCTTAGACTAATTATGTGTCTTTCGAATGTTACAACTAGGTTAGGGGAAGTGGGTATGAAGTAGTTGATTATCTATTCAGAATAGGGAGACCTTGAGAATATTTGATTATTAAGCAGAACATGAAAACATGGCTATTTATTGATATCATTGTTTCCGAATTCTGAATTCAGATTTATGTTGTAACTCTGTTAATAGTAGCATCAGTCCATTACAGCCTGAAATTTCTCTGTAGATTTTGGAGTAATTCTATGGAATATTAATGTGAATTGTAAAACAACTGGCATGAAGTAGTGTCTCATTATTGTATTTTGAGAATTGTTGTGTAATAAGTTGGTTTATGTCTGTCTTATATTGATGGAGTTTTTAGGTGAATTTAGTTTTAATTAATTGAAATTAGATTCTAACCCAAATGATAAGACTCATTGGTATCGTTCCCTGAGTATTTCATTCAAATTATGGTG